ATCTGAAGTAGCTGAGCTTTCAGATCATATGAAGGCACGCTATGTTTAAGAAAGAGAAGGATTTTTTAAATCACTTGTTTAGAATGACACATGCAGGAAAGGGGAGAACAAACAGAGAGTAATGCCTAGGAAATTAGTCATGTAACTGATTAACAGAGGTGCTTGGCTAACTCCCTGTAAGTCACACCAAAATATTTTACTGCCACACACACCAAAGAAACTACACGTCTATTTTCTAAAGAAGGGAATTGTGTGCATAGCTCCCACTGGCTTAGAGCACTTTATAATTGTTAGTTGAAGTGCTAAACATCTGTTTATTATTAATAAGAAGGGGACAACCTTAAAACATTACTATGTGCTTAGAACTACAGGACCAGTAAATTAGGAAATAGTTGTTAAGAAGTGACCTGTAGTAACTGTCAACTCTGGCTTTAGAACACTATTTTAATAGCACTCTCATTCTGGAATACAATGCAAGACTACACAAAGGACTAGAATGTATGTATGACTTGTGCCTTCAATCAACTGATAATAAGCATTAACAAATAAATTCTCACCTGCTATACCAGGAATATGTTACCTTACTGAAGAAGGAAGCATTTTCTTCAGGACTGCATTTCTATTAAAAAAAATAAACCAAACACAATTTGTGTTATTTGAAGGCCAAACGAAAATGAACTTGTACTTCACATTTTTTCTTAGGAATTGAAGCATTAAGAGATCCATTCTCCCCTGGATCAATGTTAGGTTGAATTAAATGTATATATTTCAGAGAATAAACTCTGAGTCCAGTACACAAAGTAGTAATGAAAATTAATTTGTTTCGTATTTAATATTCTAGTGACATAATCTATATTTTCTAGGTAACAAAGAAAATCTGGACCTGAATGCTAGAATTTGTTACAATGATTATTTGTTCATAATGATCAAGTGCAGGGGCAGCCTGAGAAGGGCTTTGGCAGCTGGCGCCCCAGGCAGAACACACGATTGGCGCCCTGTGCCTACACGGCCATCAATGACATGACATCATCATGGGGTGCCCCGGGCGCCCCGTTGAAGGCGGCGCCCTAGGCGACGGCCGAGTCGGCCTATACTCACAGGCTGCCCTGATCAAGTGGCACATCTATTTCTTGTTCTCTCTTTAATACAGAAGACACGTGGAATGAGAGAGTAGTTTAAGGTTACCTGATTAAATGAGCAAAACTCTCCTCCAGGAGAAAGTTGATATAAAATAACACAACAGTATTTTTTGTCACTTCGCATTGATCTAAACATTTAGCAACAGTGAAACACACTCAGCATAAGAAAAGCTACCTCCACATTTTTTAAAATAAAAATAGTTTCATAACTATTTAGCCAACTATCAGGGAAAATAAACTGCTCACACTTAAAGATGGATTTTAATTCAGGCCTGCCTTTAGTCATGAGGAATACAATATAATGTGTTTTATGGCTCAAATTTTCAAAGCTAAGAAATTTTGATGCCTTGTTCACTGATTTCTAATTAGAATTGCACTTCCAGATCTCTGATATGGCTTTCAGAAACCCATTTTGCATTGACATGATAATGCCAGTACTCTAAAGAACTATGTAGTCTCAAAAATCACTGTTCTTTCAAGCAAAACCAAAAGATTGATGTTACTCCAAGAATGAAGGTCACCTTTTTTAATATGAAAAAATATCTTCCTACATGTAACTATCAAATGAAGATGCCCTCCTTAAATTGATAAAATCTATAAAGGTAAATTAGTATTCCTGGACAGGGTTGCCTGGTGTTCACTTTTTGATCGTAACATTGGGTTGAAAAGGGACCCAGGTGGTTCCAATCAGCACTGACTGGGCCGTTAAACCCAGTTGGCATGGGTCTGGTAGGCTCCCTACTAGGGATGTAAGATATCGGTTAATTGGATAGTTGATTAAGCTCATGAATTCTTATTGGTTACTCGACTATTCTATAGTTCCTGGGATGGGGCTGGCAGCCAGTGCACTCTGGCCCCACACCCAAGGAGCCCTCTGCCCCTCCACGCTGCTGCCGTTGTATCAGAGGCAGCAATACGGGGTGCCAGGCAGGAGCTGATTTGTGAGCAGAATCAGTTTAAAAACCAGCTCCCCTTGTGAACTGGCTGCCTGTTGCCCTGTGCTGCCTCTGATATAAAGCAATGGTGCGCACTGGGAGCAGCCCCTGTCTGGAGAGAGGCGAGGGGGCTGAGCTCCCAGACCTGGCATAAGCCGGAACTGAGCCAGGCTACCTGCCAGCTAGGCTCCTAATACACTTTAAATGCAGAGCCGCAACGGGGCTAGGTCCCAGACCCAGTGTGAATGAGGACTGAGCTGGGCAGCTGGCCAGCCTGCTAAAATATTTACTTGCAACCCATAGCTAATGGGAGCTGCAGGGGTGGTGTCTGCAACCAGAGGTAGTGTGCACTGCACAGAGCTGCCTGGCCATCCCTAGGATCTGATGTACATGTTGCTACTTCTGGGGAGCCTCACGAGGTAAGTGCTGTCTGGAGCCTGCTCCCCCCATTCCAAACTCCTGCCCCAATATGAACCCTCCCCCCTTCTGCACCCAAACTCCCTCCTGGGCTCACCACTCACACTTCTTCCCATATCCCAATCACCTGTCCCAGCTTAGAACCCACTCCTACACCCACATTCCCTCTTAGTCTGCACCCCACGCTGTAGGGATAACATATTAATGTATTGAAAATGATTCCTCCAAATGGAAGTGATTCCCCATAATTTGTTCCCCACAACTTAAAGTGTTTAGATTTATTATTAATTCTTCTTATTATTATTATTATTTGTTAAGATTGTTAAATGTTTAGATTTATTATTATTATTATTGTTCCTTTAGAATATAATGTATTAGGTAATGTAACTTAGAACTGTTAAAAATATAATCCTATGTAACCAGAAACAGCCCCCCCCTCTGTGCTCCAGGGCATGCTCAAGCTTGTGCAAGGGGCTGCTTGAAATTGACATTGCAGAGATACATTGTAACAATGCATTGTCAAGCCATTAACTCTGCTATGGGAGCCAAGCCCTGTAATTGACTAAGGCCATTGTTACTTAATTGAGGCCTGTTCTCTTTAAAACATTGTAACTTTATTCAGCACTCAGAGAATGTTTTAAGCAATACCACCCAGAAACTTTCTGTAACTACAACTTTTATTATTATACAAAATACTGTATGAATGTATGAGAGAGTGCTTGGATGATGAGTGAATGGTTCTGAGAGGTGCCAGCCTGAGAATACAGCAACAAAGGGCTGAAGAAGGCGTCAGGTGCCAGTGCAACCAAAAGGTGTCAAGTGGAGAAACTGGAGGTCCACCCGATGAGATCACTGATGAGCACCTGGCAGCCACCCTGGAGACATCAGCATGATACAGCAATTTCCATAGACTGGCCTAGGAAGAAATTCCTATAAGAACTGGACTAAAAAACTATGGAATCAGAGTCCAAGGTTCTGCTGCCAGCCTACCAGGAGCTTCAGATGCGCATCTGATCAGGACTTCGCTCCCCACTACCATCACTTGTGTACAGAATACCTGGCCAGTATTCTGTCACAAGCAACTTCCAGGCTGGTAACTATAACAAATACACAGAACCTGAATGAATGGATGAATGAATGTTTATATGTATAAGGGTTAAGTAGTTAACAACGTTGTTTGCTTCTATCTTTTCTTTATTTTTTTATTATTATCTTTACAATAAATGTGGCTTTTTGCCTTATCCCCCTCATAAGATCCTGCTTGCTTTTATTTGGTACAACAACGCCCCCTCCTCACCACCACTCCCAGATCCTGCACTCCGCACCCTCCTGCATGCCGCAACTCCTTCCTGCAACCTGCATCCCAAATTCTCTCCTGAGTCCCCCTCCCTACCAAATCCTTTCCCAGAGTCTGTATCCCTTCTCTGTCCAGGGTGCTGGGTTTTAAAGTGGCTCCGTTCATGAACCGGCTCCCGCCTGTCACCCCACGCTGCTACCTCTAATACAGAGGCAGCAGCACTGCGTGGTAGAGGGCTTCCTGGGAGCAGGGCCGAAAACACACTGGCTTCCAGCCCCACCGCCAGAGATTATCGAATATTCGTGTAACTGAAAAGATTTTATGTGGTTACACAACTATTCGATTACCTGAACTCGAACATCCGTAACATCTACCATTTATTTTGAAGAGTTAGGGGTTTTTTTGTGGATTTGTTTGTGCAAAATAAAGTCATACTTCGAGATTACCTACAGATACCAAATTTTGTATAAACAATCCTCCCACTTAAATTAGCTGAATGCACTACTTTTTACACTGGAATATGCTGGGTGAAAGGTTTCAATCAATGATTCTCAGTGTGGCCTGTGGACCCACTCTGAGAAAACTGCTACTAGGCAACTCCAGTTTGTTTACTTACCGGATTCAGTAACAGAGCCTCAAGGCTTCCATAAGACGTGGTTCACTGTTTGCAACCAAGGGGTGCCATGGGATGCAGTATGACATGGGCCTCTGCTTCCTGCAACTCCCCTTGGCTGCAAATGGCGAATCGCAGCCAATAGGAGCCACAAGGCTCCATGGCCACGGAACTGGTAAGTAAACAAACCAGAGCAGCCTGGTATCAGCTTTCTCAGAGTGGTCCGCAGACCACTTTGAAAAACGCTGGATTAAATAATTATTTTTGTTTTTCCATCAGAAAAAAAATCATAACTATTATGATTCAAGTTCATAAAAATATTTACTAACAAAATTAACATTGAATCCCCTATTCAACTGTTATTTTAGTGCAAAATTAAATTTTTACTATTACAAATCATAAAATAATTAAATTTAGTTACAGAAAGAGTAATGCAAGCTGTGACTCTGCATTTAAAGTGTAGTAGGAGCCGGGTGAGCTGGCAGCCCGGCTCAGTTCTGGCTTTCGCTGGGTTCAGGAGCGCAGACATGCCCCCAGATGGGTTGCTGCCATGCTATGACGCTGTCTCTTTATCAGAGGCAGCAGCACAGTGATAGGCAGCTGTTTTGTGAGGGGAGCCGGTTTTCAAACAGGCTCCTCTCACAGACCAGGTCCTGCCTCGCATCCCAAGGCAGAGGGATCAGAGCAGACTGGCAGAGGGCTCTTTGAGAGTGAGGAGGGAGTGCAGTGGCTGTCGGCCCCGCCACTGGGGACTATAGAATAGTCAACTAACTGATAAGAAGTAATGAGATTATTCAACTATTCAATTAACCGATATTTAACATCCCTAATTTGTGTTATACTGGAAATTCAATTTTAAATCAGAAGTGCATAAAAACACCATTTTAAATGTTTCAGTCGTTAAATAAAACTACTTTAAATGTGCTGGATAAATAAGAAAAAAGTGAATCAAAGTTCATCAAAACTTGCTTTGCATTTAAAAGTAAATGATTTCTTAAACAATCCAAGTATCTGCAGTCAGTGAATTGAATTGACCATGTTCATCAAGATTTTAGAGCCAACAGATCTCAACCTCCTGCACCTAATTTTTATTCAAAGACTGGAAGAGGGAAAACAAGCCTTCTTGCATTTTCAGCTCTCAGTCACTTTCTTAACTTTTTTAATGAACTGTTATTGAATTTAACTAGATGGATAAAGTGAAATAAGGAAAATATAGTCTGTCGGTGAAGAAAAAGCTACTGCTGCCAAAAGCTGGTTTGCATTACAACAAACTCTGGTTGCAGGTGCATATCCAGTGATTTACATCATGTCAGTTGTTTGATTTTTTTTACAATCTGGCAGCCAACAAGTACTGTTTATTTTTTAAATTAAATGTAAATGATTGTAATGTATTATAATATACAGTATTTTAGGCATTAACATATGCATTAATTTCACACCACTTTCTTAATATGACCCAAACTACTACTTGCAAATCTTTTTACATGTGCACCATTCAGGCCGGGATACCATAATTCTAATCTAAAAGTGTACACTCTTTTTTTATATCCAAGTATTACCTCAGATCTCACTGAATTAGGCACTTTTCAAATATATGGCCATCTCTGCCCCAACAGTTTACACTTACACAGACAAAAAAGAAAGGATGAGAGGGGTTCAATGAGCATCCTCTTGTTGGTTTCTCTTACTCAGAAATCAGTTCACCTTTGGTTTCATGGAATTTTTTACTTTAATCCTATCTTGAGGGAGAGGGAAAAGAGGAGGTAGCAGAGGGGAAAGAAAATGCACAAGACAGGAAGAATCCTAAAAAGAAAAAGAAAAAAAACCAGCCAGACGAATAGGAGAGAAATACCAGAGTGGAGGATGCAAAAGTGCAAGGTGCCCCATATAAAAATAACTTCCTAGCATGTATTTTAGGCCATGAGGGTATAAAGAGAGGAGACATGCTCTAAACCAGTAGTCCCCAACCTTTTGGGGCTGCCGGGCACCCAGGGGCCGGGCTGCTCACACACCACGTGTCCAGGGGCGGGACCACCCGCGCGCCCGGGGCAGTGGCCGCCCACGTGCCGCGTGCCCGGGGGCTAGGCCAGCCCAGATCATTCAGCGGGTGCACCTAAATGCCCCAGCGGGCGTCATGGCGCCTGCGGGCACCGCATTGGGGACCACTGCTCTAAGACCTCCCCCAAAAAAGGTAAGTGGATTTAGCAGAATGAAAGGAGTAAGAAATACAAGGCACCCCTCGGATAAACAACTGCCAGAAAAAAAGAGGGGTATGCACTTGGCCCCAACACAGTCCTAATCCCTTTTTTCCAGATTTCCAATCCAGCATATTTACCTGAGCCTCATTTGAAGGGACTCTTAGATCACACATACTCCCTCCATACACACCCCTCCTCCCCAGTTGTCTCTTATTACAACTAGGTTTCCATTTTTAAAAAACGGTCCATGAAATCCGGGATCCTGCCCCCCAGGATCGCATGCATCTCCTGCGAGGAAAGCTCATCGAACAAGCCCCACCAAGCCAACCATGAGGTGACTTTAGCAGGAGCCAGGGAGCGGGAGGGACGGGTCTTTGTACGTAACACCGCTGCCACCCTGCGGAGCGATCAGAGAAGGGACAGCCCAGGCAGCCCCCGCGCGGCTCCCCTTCCAGGGTGTGCGCAGGGCAGGGAGCGAGCGCTGCGTTTTAGCCTCAAGACTTCGCCCCTTTCCCCCCCATGTTGGCGTGTGCTGGGGCCCGGCCCCATCCCGCAGGGGCTCCCGCCGCGCGCCCCACCACACTTGCCGCGCACCGCTGCCTGGGGGGGGGGAGGCGCTCGTAGGGCCCGCCGGCTGCCCCTCCCCCGCGCAGCCCGGCCAGCATGATCCGAGCGCGCCCTGCGGGGTACCCCCGGGCTCGGGGCAAAGCGGCAGCAGCAGCAGCTAACGCGCTGTCGGCCAAAGAGCAGCCTCTGCCGGGGGAGCCTGGGAGAGGCTGGCCCGCAGGCACCTCCCACCTCCCGGCGCACGGGCGTCGCCGCTGTCTCTGTGCGCGGCTGAGGGAAGGCCTGGCTCACGGGAGAAAGAAACCCTGGCCTGTGCGTGTGTGTCCGGAGCTTAGAGACGAGCCAGCCCCCCAGGACCTCTGCCAGGGAAGGTCCGCCTAGCGCTGGGACTTCGCAGCGGGGAGCACCTGCCTAGAGCCAGGTGCGGCAGGCAGCACGGGGAACAGTAATAACTGCAGGCATAGGGCAAGTCATGGCGTGCACTGATCCCACTTGTTCCCACCGAAATTGTAGCTAAGTGCGGTGTTGCAACGGGCCTTATCCCCGCCTCTCTGGAAAGCCCTCCTTGCACCTCCACCTTCCCCCAGGCACAGTCGCCTATAAGCACACAGATAGGCTACGTCTAGACTAGCATGATTTTCCGCAAATACTTTTAACGGAAAAGTTTTCCGTTAAAAGCATTTGCGGAAAAGCGTGTCTAGATTGGCACAGACGCTTTTCCGCAAAAAAGCCCCGATCGCCATTTTCCCGATCGGGGCTTTTTTGCGCAAAATAAATCTGAGCTGTCTACACTGGCCATTTTGCACAAAAGCTTCACGCGAAAGCTTTTGCCCGAACGGGAGCAGCATAGTATTTCCACTAGAAGCACTGATTTCACACAGTAGTCAGTGTTCTTGCAGAAATTCAAGCGACCAGTGTAGACAGCTGGCAAGTTTTTCCGCAAAAGCAGCTACTTTTGCGGAAAAACTTACCAGTCTAGACACAGCCATAGGGTTTGCGGACGAACGTCCATCCCGCCTTGAAGGCTTTTAAAGGGAGCTGGCCTGGCTTGAAGAGTAGGGCTCTCCAATAGTGTTAAAAAGAAGGGTTTTTTTTACTGGACATTGCCAGACACAGGTTAGGTTGTTCATTCAGATTTCCCTGGGCCCAGGTCCTCAATCTGCTCCCAACATTAGGGTTGCCAGATACTTTCACACAAAATCCCGAAAATGGCAAGGAAAAAAATTGGTCCAGTATTTTCTCTCTTTTTTTTTTTTTTTTTTTTACCAGACAGGAGACGCAGTTACCAGACTGTTCAGGTGAAAACCAGACACCTGGCAACCCTACCCAACATCCTTTTTTTTTTTTTTTAAAGTTATTTCGAAATAACAGCTGTTATTTCGAAATAACTTTCCTAGTATCTACACAGCCATTCTGTTATTTCAAAATTAATTCGAAATAGCAGAGGGCTTATTTTGAAATTGGTAAACCTCATTCCACGAGGAATAGTGCCAATTTCTAAACTGCTATTTTGAAATAAGCGCTGTGTAGACGCTTCTTTCAAAATAGGGGGCCTCCAGCCCTTCCCAGGGTGCCTTGCTGGCCGCCCTGGCCACAAGGCAACTTCTGACCTGATGCCCTGCCAGAACTGGTTCCAACCAGCCTTAAATGCGATTTAACGTCCACTCAGGATGGACATGCTATTTTGAAATAGAAAAACGTTATTTTGAAATGCATTTTGTTTGTAGACATGTTATTCGAAATAAGCTATTTTGAATTAACGATTTCAAAATAACTTATTTTGAAATAACGCTGTAGACGCAGTTACCAGACTGTTCAGGTGAAAACCAGACACCTGGCAATGTTATTCGAAATAAGCTATTTTGAATTAACGATTTCAAAATAACTTATTTTGAAATAACGCTGTAGTGTAGACATACCCTATTCCCCAGTCTGACTGGGACTGCTTGCCTGCTAAGGGATGTACTACTCCACTTTAGGAAGGGTGCCAGACAGAAATACAAACTTGTAATGTCTTTCTAAAGCTTCCTTCAGCATGTACTTTGGAGGATCCTCCCCATTCTTCCGACACATCTTTTGAGGGCAGGGAGAGTTTCCACCAGGCTCTGTCCTTGCTCCCCTTCTCTTCTATACCTTATCTTTGGATAGTCTCATCAAAACAGACATGAATTCCACTACCATCTGTGTGCTGACAACTAGCAGATTTACTCCTCTACCCAGACTATCTTCTATCCAAACTAAATTCTCAGCCTGTCTCTCTCAGATCTCCCCACTGATGTTTAGTGTTCAGCTCAAGTTTAATATAGCTACTACAGTGCTCTTACCTTTTCTGTCAAGACTTCCCTGTTTTCTTTCTCGATTATTGTAAACACCACCATACTGTTTGTTACTCAGAAGAACTGTATCCTTGTTGTCCTTTTCAAATCTGATCTTTCGGATCCTTACACCCCTGCCACGTGTAAAACATCTCTATGATATTACCTTTTCTATTTATCCACACAGCTAAATCTCTCATTCAAGCTTTCCTCATCTCATGTCTTGATCACTGGTGCATCCTTTTCACTGGCCTTGACAAATGCAACCTTGCCCTATTCATATACATTCAGATTGCTACTGCACAGATCATTTTCCTAGCCAATCACTTTGATAGTGTCTCGCCTCTCTTTGAATCCCTCCCTGGCTCCCGCTTTTCTATCCCATCAAACATAAATTGCTTGTCTTCTCTTTTAAAACCTTCTTGGCCTGTCCTCACCCTACATCTCTCATTCAGTATCAAGATGACAATGTACACATCTAGTTGATCCCGGGTGCCAGCCTATGCTATTCACTTGTTCAGTTTTCAAACATCCCCCCTGAGTCATGATATTTGGCTAATACAACCCCTTCTGCTCCAAGACCTGCATATTCCCTCCAAACCCTCCACTGAGTGATATGACCCCACATCCAGCATCAGCAGATGTCTGGCCTTCCTGCACTCACTGGCTTGGGAAAAGAAGCAATGCACCTTCAGCTTGCTCTGCTCCCCTGGCCATGTCATTTCGCTTACTGCTGGTGAGTGTGGGGGCAGTTATGCCCCTCCCCCAGAGCAATGCGGCTGGAAGATAAGAGTAAGCTGGGACCACATTACTCCACTTCCCCTGCTGTCCGTGATCTTGGTCTTCACAAATGTAGACAACTACAATCTGACTTCAGTGGGCACAGAATTAGGTCAGTATGCTTTTGAAAATCCTGCCCTAATTATAGAATCATGGAACTGGAAAGGGGCCTTAAGAGGTCATTAAGTCCAGTCCTCTGCATTTACAGCAGGACCAAGCACCCCCTAGAGCAGGGCTACTGAACTTTGGAAGCCACAGGGGCCACAATGTACTCACAGCACATGCCAAGGACCGCAACTTAAGTATGGTTGCATATACATGCAAAAATATACGAAGATATATGCAAATAGCTTCTTTCACACAGACGGGCAAGACTACACATCACACAGGCCTGATTTAAGTCAGTTCTGCTATTAAAAAAATGCAATATTTACCCGATTTCCACCCATATGATAGCACTTTTAATGAGCAATGACAGTCCAGGGATATCAACAATGCATATCAACAGAAGAATATTATATTGACTACTTTTTTGTTTTGGCTCCCACTTGTGGGCCGTGTGTTGAGCCACGCGTAAACCCAAACTGCATTGCAGGCTGCAAACAAATGGGCTGTGGGCCGCAAACACACTTTTCACTTGTTTTCCCCATATCTTGATTCATGCAGCTCCTTGTTAATTGGTTAGTATTTGCATGAAAAGGAAGTTAGATTTAGTCACAAAATCAGGATTTCACTTATTGTGTTATTTCTTGTGATAGTAACATTTCCTGTAATATAATTTTGGCATAAGTTCATCATACCTTAGCATTACTCCGTGAAGGAGTATCAATATTGTATTTGTTACATCTCTTGTTTTAATTACTACTGTTTTGAGGTACTAGGTCTGGTTATCTTAGAATGTGAACTGCAGGGATAAATTGTTGCTGAGGGACTGATAGCTTTCGGGGCCCCGCACTGCTGAGTATTCACCATCTACTGGCCGGGCCCAGGCCCCCACTCACAGCATCCTGCCTTGGGCCCTGAAAACCCTTTGGCTGGGCCTGATAGCTGGTGATAAAAGCCAAATGTGTATACTGTAGAACCCAATTGAATCTAATTAAAGAAAATAAGTGTAATGTCAGACAACTTGATTTCAGAACTGAACTGTTTATTGCAAGATTTCTGAGAGTCAATGTGGCTTATGTATGTATGAAATAGTATGGCAAAGAAATAGCATAAAAGAGAAAAAATATTAGAGAAAAACAACAACATAATTGTATAAACAATATAGGAGGCCCTGTTTAATATTCACAGAGAATGAAAACTGACCAGTATAGACTCAGGCAAATGAACAAATATTTGTGTATCAAGACACTCTTTTTCCACTCAACATTTTCTTTTCGCTACAGGGTGCCAGTATGATACTGTATCATTGAGGGCTTCATTGGGCTAACACGAACAGAAGAGTTTTACTAATAACTAATGCCTCTTAATTCCAAGCTGCTTAAATCTCTTTTACGTTTTAATTTCTATATTGTATTGTCACAAGGTTTCCAATTGAGAAAGAATATTTCCATTGGTTTCTTCACATTTGTTTTTTTCACCCTCTTTTACACTGTTTGTAGTGCTCTAGTTTGGTGGTTTAGATTTCAGTCCATTATTTATTTTGCCTTACTATATGCACACCATTTTCTTTCACCTCAGGAAAGGTGAAACACCCCTACTCCATACCAGCCAACTATCCTGTCCCATTCTACTTTTAAAAGTTTGAAAATGTAAAGATGTATGCACCTGATTCTCAGTTCCCATCCTGACCATGCAGAAAATCCAAAGTGAATGTACGTTACATTTACACTCAGGTTAAGGCCCATTAATGTTCTCGGAACTGTGTAAACAGGTTTTAGTATAAATGAAAATCAGATGCCTATACCTGTAAGTATGCATAGATGGCTCATGTTTCCCTAACTAGTGATTCCCTAGACTTTTAGTACTTGTCTTGATGAAAAACATACTTGAGTAAACCTAACTGTAAAGCACAGCAATTTTAGGAATAGGCACTTTTCCTATTATGAATTATGACTTACAAAACAGAACTGTTCAGTCTTAAGTAATGGTCTCTCCGCTTAACCAAAATAAATACATTTATACTCTGTGTACAGTGTTTCATGCTGGGTAAAGTTGTTTTCCTTATATGTATATTAAATAAGATGTTATGGAAATACTGTGCTTTACAATACTTACAATTCATTGACTCAAACAATTCTCAAAATTCTTGCCCCTATTTCATTGATTCTAACAATCCTCCTGAATCCAGGTTTGCAGCATACACAGTTCAGGGACCGGAAAAGTTGTATTCATTTTTCATTGGGTCTAGCTTTCATGGCAGTAGTGTATCTTGTAGTTGTAGTTAAATGGACATTGTCAGATTACAGGTAGCAGCCTTAATAAATAAATGTACTTACCAGTGATATATGATAAAACAAATATTTACAAATCTGAATGTTCTCTTTTTCATCTATGCTCTTTTCACTTTCCATCTCATTCAATCTGGACACTAGAAATAAGTCAATCAATATTACTTCTGTTTCTAGTCTACTTGAATATGGTTTCTTTTCATTAATAAAAGGTAGCATTATTTGCCTTACAAACAATCCACAGTGTATCTAAACAAACTGAGTCAATTAAAAATAAAGATTATATTTCTATTACTATTAGTTTTTTAAGTATACATTGAGCCTAAACTTTTTGTAATAAAAATTTTTCAAAATGAAGTTATCCTTTGTACTCGTTAAATTATCTTTTGTACTCAGTAGTACTGGTTGGACCTCCCAAAACTGGGACTCTCTGGTCTGGAACATCGATGGTCTGGCAACGTCCATGCTCCTGGACCAGGGAGTCCTGGCTGGGAGGACTAATATTATTTATTAAACTATTAGTTACTAGCATTTAGTAATAATTAAGACTATATATACAGCTGAAAATATAACCTTGGGTAAGAAAATCAAAGGAGACTGTAAAATTTTGTTATAGCTTTTGATACCTTAGTCCAAAACATAGCTATGGTATAATATCCTGAATCTTTAACACTACTAAGCTGTAACAATTCTTTTAAAGCCATCCTCGAGAGTTCTTATTCCAACTTATATCTGTAATACTACTAGATGACTAACCTTGAAAGCTTCGCATATTACTGGAAGAATGGCTGCCATTACTTAATGAAAAAATAAGGGAAACAAAACTGTTTCTGTTCTTTATTAGGAAAATGTTCAACTTTTACAACACTTTTCCTGTATCTTTTTTTGGAAGGATTTCTTCTTCTAAATATGTTAAGATTAAATGCAATATCAGGACACTTTATATATACAACCTATGACATTCCAAAAATAATAATAATGAATCTTATGAATCTATTTTTTGTAAAGTGCAAAAATGAGATATTCACTCTCAAATAAAAAGAACAAACTAAAGTGCAGTTCAAAAATTGTGAACGCAATCATACAATATTAATGCCTTTTTTTCTTTACTTTACACTTCCTGTATTTTGGGCTATGTTCTCTTTGTTTTTTTCTGTCATTTTCCATGCTACTGTCACTATCACTAGTTACCTGCTCTCTTTTTCTTTTACAGGTATTTTCATTAGCCAGATATGATTCATAGTTGCTCAGTTGTGGAGGAACCCACTGAAAAGAGCTTTGCCCAGCTTTAAAATCCTCAACAGGATTCATATAAGGTGGCATGGGCAAAACTGAAAATGGTGGTGGAGTCATTTGATAGTAAGGAATCTGCTGTTCCATTGGACTGTACACTGCGTATTGCTGTGTTAAAAAATGGTTCATCTGAAAAAACAAAGCAAAAATTCAGTTATGAATGCCATATTAGGACTGTCAAACAATAGAAAAATGACAATTGCAAGATTTAAAAAGTTGCAATTAATCAGTTTCAATCACACTGTTAAACAGAATACTAATTTCAAATTATTATACAGATGTTGGATATTTTTCTACATTTTCAAATATAGTGATTTCAACTAGAACATAGAATACAAAGTGTACAGTGTTCACATAATTATTATTTGATTGCAAATATTTGCACTGTAAAAAAAGTTTTAAAAGACTATGCTTTGACTTGTAGATTGCACTAATGGGCATAGTAATGTTTAGCATATCTGGCAAATAAATACCTTCAACAATGTCTACAAATAGTGCCATGTCTCACTTTTAAGTGACGTGTACATGAGAAACAGGTGGCGTGTCTCATAAATCACAGAACACTACAACTGGAAGGACTCTTGAGAGGTTATCAAGTCCAGTCCCTTGCACTTATGGAAGGACCAAGTACCATCTCTAGACTATCCCTGACATCTCTGACAAACTTGTTTCTTAGCATTTGGTTGAACAAGAAGTAGGACTGAGTGGTTTTTAAGGCTCTAAAGATTTTCACTACTTGGTTTTTGAGTTCAGTTATGTGAAAAAAAAATCTACACTTGTAAGTTGCACTTTCATGATAAAGAGATACCAGTATAGTACTTATATCAGGAATTGAAAACTACTATTTTTTTTGTTTCTTTTTACAGTGCAAATTTTCTAAACACATAGAATAATATAGAGTGAGCAATAATACACTTTGTATTGTGTTGAAACTGAAATCAATATTTCCATTAATATTTCCATA